CACAAAAGACACGGCCTATACCTCAGATGGCAAAATGAGAGATAAGATTGATAGAGATTTAAGCAGCAGAGAAAAGGGGGAAAAAAACGTGACCATTGTTGCAACTTGTTTTCAACTCGACTGTCCTCGTTTCTCTGGTGAAGTAAATTATAGGATTTTTGGGGTTGTGATTTCTTTCTTTCTAAATGTAAGCTATAAAACAACTAAATAACGCACACCATATTTTAAATAGCTGAATCGTCGAGCCACAACAGTGTTGAACTTGTTCAGAGATTTTAGGCATTTTATCTTGATTTCTTCTTATCTCAAGGTAATGCTGATTGAAACTAGTATTTTCCTATGTGGCCTATTTTACCTATTTGCACGTGTCTTAAACTTTGCATTTTAAAGTAGGTCACTGACCTTTAAAATATTTCAGGTTACGGCTACTACATTTGTCGCTACAGATATTACCCATTTATAATTCATGATCTTGTTCGTAATTTGCATCCCTGGCAAATGAAATGAATCTGTCACTGGGCTGACAAACTACAGTTCTTCATACAGATGTGAAACACTCTCTCAATGTAATTCCATTCCCCATTTTGTAATCTCACAGCAAATGATTTTTATTTTCTTAACAGCATCTGGCAGACCTTCATTTTTTATCGTGAACCTTTCAAATCAGGAATGATTCGTTACAGTGTGTTTGGCACAAAATAGACTCTTCACACATTTCCTCACAGGTGAAGGGCATTGTTTTACTCTTAATACTGTATTATCGTGTATCAGCTTGTAGGACCTGCAGAACATTTGTCTGCATACTTAGAGAGAAGTGTGAAACCAAAGAAGGTTCTGGCAAAACACAGTAAGCCAAGGTTAGATTATTAAAGATTGACATTCATGAAGAAAATAAAGACAAGGACAGTCACCCCTGGAATTCAGCAAACCTCAGCACTCCAATGCATTTGCAACAAAGAAAACCCAAATCTTTCAAATGTTTGCACAAAACCTGTAGCAAGTGAACCATCAGCTAGACAGTTTTTGTTTTACTAAATGTTACAGAAAAATGTAAAACTATTTTTTATTTCTTTTCCCCCTCATTTTATTTGTATTTACCTTCAAAAAAAAAACTATGTATCCCAAAGTGCACCAAAATACTAACTCAATCTTTTTAACAGATGCCATGAGTGGGACAAATATGGAGTGTGCATTAACACGCTTTTTTTTAAATAGTTGGGTGACAAAAAAAAAAATCAGATGTGTAATTTCAAATGTCAGCTACACAGCAACCTCAGCAGCATGTGCACTCCCACATCCATCTGTCTACAGCTTGTGCACACTTATAAGTTCAAAAATATTTAAATTACAAACATGAGACAGTTCACTCTTTGCAACTATAATAGAACGTGAAGTTAAAGTAAAATATTTCATAAAAGAATACTGTGAAAGCTGTCATGGATTGAAGTGGTTCAAGAAGAAGAATTGTTGTTATTTATGCTGATAAAAATAGAAATAGATCAGTAATTGTTTTGTCCCATAGTCTCCATTTCTGAACACAAATATATTTAATGGACTATGTTATAGGTTTGGTGTCTGATTTTAGTCGATAAAATGGTAATTGTGGTAATTACCATAGTTTTATTACTTTATTCTTTATATAAAGCAAAAAATGTGCGATAACTGTTTCATGTTGTCCTGTAGGTTTTCATGTCCAGTACTGTAACTTTGACCAATCCAATGATTTCTTTTTCCTCCAGCGTTCTGTGTGCTGTTTGATCAGATTGAGCCTCCCTAATTAATATTGTACCGTCATCATCAGAACTAGTTTTGCTGCCAACTTTTTTTGTCCTTATTGAAGCACACAACTGTTGAAGATTGAGGTCAGAGAAACAACATGACAGAGATAAAAACAAAACAAAAAAAAACATACAGTAACAGAGAACACGACATTTGTGTCACAGCCCACTGAGAAGTAAACAGAGCAGGGCCGCTGTCATGTAGACTCACAGGGTCACAGTGTGACAATTGATTAACAGTAACTCAGTAGAGGCTTGAATTAACCGTTCTTACAAGCAGTTACACAAACATTTCTACCTCCAATTTCACAGTTTTGACCCACTGACTCTTGGTCATATGTAATATCAGCACTCAGGGAAATAAGTTGCTGCAATAAAAAAAAAAAAACGAAATGTGGCACAGCACAAATTACTTCTGTGACCTGCCACAATCAGTGTGAGAGTCGGTGCAATTAAAAAACTTTCTTCCAAAGGCCTTCCATGTTTTTTTTTTTCTTAGTTTAGTTTTTTTTCCTAGTCACATCCTTTTGTTGCGACGTTTGTTACTGTCACAAAGTATATATGAATGTAGGGTTGGTCAAAGTAGTTCATTGTATTGAAATGACTGACAAGGACATTATGGTGAAAAAGAAACGACCACAGTGCTTATTGAATGGTTATCTCTGACCTTAACATTTGTTGAACATGTTTTTGTATTATTTACCATATTAGGTGTTCTTACACAAACAAACCTAAACTTAACACAGCAGCAAACCTTGAGCAGAAAACTATGATTTTTTGCAGGCTGTGTAGACTAACATTCTTCAGATAGATGTGACTCACACACTAAATTCCCAGTGCTACCAGAGAGGTATCCAGCCTCACAACTGGAAATGAGGTCAAGCAACCAAACACTGACAGGACATGCATGCTCTTACTACTGCACACACCTAGGGAGTACTCAGCCCAAACCCAAGGTTCTGGATAGCAATTTCTAAAGACTCAGTGGTGTTGTCAGTCTATTGACTGCCTTATGAGTAAGGAAAAATATATTATGTAAGGTTATATAAACCATTGTTGCTCAAAGACTGGGTCACGACCCTCAGGTGGGTCGCAAGAGTTTTTTTGGGGGGTGTCTTCCACTGTAGCTTGATAACGTATTCATCTGCTCCACTTGACAGCTGGTTCACATTTATAATTAGCTTGAATGCCACACATCAAATGATGGAACAAGGCTTTTAAAATACATTTTTTGGGACATAGCGACGTAACCACAAAAGGCCATATGGGTTGAGGACGTCGTAAGCCGAGGACCAATTGTACATTCAAATTCTCTGGTCGCTGACAGCAGACGCAGCTCTGCCGCACTGATTTTAAGTCAACTGAAACGAGCTGCAGAAATTCTTTTGTGAAGGACACTATACACGGCCTGTTTGTCTTTTGAATAGACATTGTTGGTTCCACAACAATGAACTGTATTCCAAACATAAAGCCTTGGATTACCAGTGATTTCAACAATCCCCTCAACAAAGAGAAAAATTCGCTCAAAGAGAAATCTATGGCTCATTCTTTTGGAGCTCAAGGTCTGACTGAAGCTTGTGAGGGATGATTTTAGAGGAACAAACCGACTAAACCCCTGTTTCAGCTGGTTAGCTTGTTTTCATTGCAATGTGTTGCAATCTATGAAGAGAAAAGTATGGCAACAGACTGGAAACGCAGTCTGGCAAATTTCAAATATTAGGTGGTGAGAGAAGGTAACTGAGTTGAAATATGCCCTTCACCGAGCATTTTGGAAAGTGTTGCAATCATCACATTAAAAGTGAGTGAACGTTTTAAAAAGAAAAACCAACCTAATAACACTGAACATTGAATTTTGTTTTCATTAATTTTAACATTTAGGTTTGTGTCTGCCAATCCTTACAAACTATTAGTTTATTTTGGTACAAAATGATTTTTTGTCCGATGTACTGCACATATTATTGTAATATTTTAACTCAAGTTAGTTTTAATCAGTGACACACTACAACACAAGTACCTGCTGTGACTATTTAAAACTCTTACCAATAGCCCCTGTTCCAGTCTGCTCCTCTGTGTCATCACAAAGGTTAACTATCATCACCGTACAATTGACTACAGTCTATTTGGTAAAAGACAGAATCCTTTATAGCGCTTGTTTATGTGAAAATCAACACAGCAAGTGATCAGGTCTTAATTACAAACATTTGACAGACCAAGTCAAATTGGCCAGAGCTAGCTTGGCAGCGTTCCACCATATCAGGTATGCCAGACAGGGCCGCTGAGGTTCAGCCTCCACTCTGGACGGCTTGCCGACAGCCAGTCTGCAAAATCCGCCTGCAGCCCCAGAAGAACCTTCCATCCTGCTGTGTCTGCTGTTCTTCCTCTTCACACACATCCATCCTGCCTGCCTGGTCTGTCAAAGCCTGTCTCCTTCCCTCTCTTTGACTTCCACACTCATTCCTCCCTCCTGCTTTCCCCCTCTTTTCCTCTGCTCCACTGGGCTTGTGAAGGTGAGCCAGTCCCCAGTGACACTACAGTACAGATTGCAGCGCTTCCTTTTCAAATGGAGGCTTTTCTCCTGTGTATGGTGACGTAAAGAATGGGAAGGCAGATACTTGTCTGGCTTAACTTTCTGTGTGGTTATTTTAGTCTTCAAGCGCACACCTGGACGTTGTTAATTATTATGTCATACGTTTAGATCAAGGTTTTTTATCTCTGGGTCTGGGAGGTGAAAGCCGCTCATTGTGACCTTGGAAAAGTTCACTGCTTTTTGTGGTTGCCTTTCAATCGATGCACGTACGACTGTTTGACTAGAGCTCAAGTCCCTTTACATCAAGAGCGCTTGCATTTTACCACCTTGAGTTACTGGCACTGACAAGAATCCATTTGGTTTAAACAAGGATAATATAACCGTTGTGTTAGCATTCGACAATTTTAACAGTCTTGATGGTTTTACTGTCTTTCTGCAGTGGAGATTCATGGTTATGGTTAGCAGTAAAATAAAGGTGTTTTACATGTGATGAAGTCGAGAGACGCTTGACTTTTAACTAGCAGGCCGGGTACTGCAGTCTTGTGGGGAATACAGAAAGACAGCCGGAATGTTTTTAGCTCTTTTATTCTCTTTTTTTTCACCTGCTCATAAATGTTTTCGGTAGGCATAAAAAATTACGTGGGTTTTTGCTTCTGCGGGGGAAACTAATTTCCTTTCGTTTTGTGATTGTACAGGTTTTTGAAGATTATTATCACTTCAAACATCATGCTGTGGCAAAGAGGGCTCTCTCTGACCACAGGGGGGTGCACGTCAGACTCCAGAAAGAACCACAGGTAAGGTCCATGCCAGCTTTAAAATTGCAAATTGCAGCAACAAAAGCCCTGAAGACACACACGTGGGGTCTGGTATGTGTGTGACAGGAGGAACAAATGCCACCAACAGTGACAGCTTGTCAAACTGCCAGCCACTGCGTAGCTGTAAATATGCAGCAATAACCACACAAACAACACAGGTGCGAGTGTCAGTGACCTTGCTTTCACTTCTGTCTTTTATAACATTCAGTTTGTGTGTATCGCGGTTCTCCTTTCACTCCCTCAGTAAATCACAGATCTCGCAAAATATTTGCTATATCGTGAAATATAGCAAAAAATAAACTAAAAGACATTATAAAATAATTATACATGTGAAAGTTTTGGCTTTAAAAATGTGGATTCTCATTTTGGTAGAATGGTAGAAATTGAATTGTATTTGAGTTAATGGAAGAATTACTGAGAGGGTGACATCCAAGTGTAATGATGTCACTTTAAAAATGGGAACATCATGCCTGCAAGACAGTAAGTTAATACTGTTTTGTTTTTCTACTAGAAGGGAATATTGGCTTTGCCAGAAATCATCCTGCAAAGAAAAGAAAATATTTGTGGAGGTGAAAGAAAGCTGAAGGTTAAAGTAAAAAGTAATGGAGTCCACTCTATTTTAAACTGTATTAAGAGGAGAACACCTTTAATAAAGGTTTTTTTAAATGATAATTCTTCACACAATTGAATCCATTCTCATCATTCTTGCTCCACACATCATACTGCAGACTCAGCTCAGTGTGAACAATGTGAAGCTACATCACAGTTGTAGCTGTCGTCTGAAATAGAACTCATTTTCTTGAGCATAAAAATGTTATTTGATCTTGAGTTTGTAGTTTAAATAGCTTGATAACAAAGAAGGGCAACAAGGGACATGCAACGAGAGTTCTCCACAGCGAGCTTATATAACGTTGCTTGTTTTCTGTCAGTAAAACACAAAAGAGATTTAACAGGGTTGCAGGTGCACATCTTCAAACAAATGCTTTAGAACTTCAAGTTTGTGTGGGTGCAAGGAAGGTTCAGATATTATCATCATAAAAAGACATCATAAAACTTCACCAGCTGTGGTTATCACCTCTAAATTATCCTCTTTTTTTCTCTCCCTAGCTGTGAGATAAAGCAAAGCTAAAAATGCTCAAAATTATTGTAAATTCCTGTTGAAAATCAGAGCTGTGGACATTTTTTTCCATTTATCTCTTCAAACATTTAATGCTTAAGTATGTATTTAATCATTTTCTGTGGACTAAACATACGATAGATTTGGCAGTTAGTTTTTTCCCCCATTGTATCTTAATCAGTTGGCTGCTCTAGCTCAACCACTTGTTTTACAATTTTATTATTTATTGTTTTAATCAATATCATTGCCTCAAATTTACCCTTTGGGATTTTCCAAAGCATCAGCTGAATATGTCTTTGAGTAAAAGAAAAAATAAAGGTCAGCCACCAATAATCACAACAGTTGCCAGGTTCAAGACAGAGATGATGCAAACATGTTGTTCTGAAGGTTTGTCAGTTGTAAAATGAGAGCATATTTGCTACACCTGTCCGTAGTGCAACAGCCAGAAGACAGGTTGGACTAAGCACTATCTGTTCCTGAGCCAAAGTAAAAGTGGCTGAGAATCTCCAGCAATATCTCCTGACAAGCACTGTGACCCCAAGACATCATTAGTGAGATGCAGTGACTTGGAGTGAAACTTGTCTTGTCAAGGGTCAAGCTAACAAGGCTTTGAGAGCAGAGGGGCTCCAGGCTGTCCGGTCAGACTAGAGAGAATCACGCATGTTTGAGACAGCAAATATATTTACAGCGACATGGGTTGTGACACTCAAGAGAAAGCTGTCATGTACCATACTGAGGTTTTATCTGGTGTGCGGTGGACATAAACTGAGTAACATGGATCATGTCATTAGAGTCTCTGTAAGCAGGACTAGGAGATAGTTGATATAACCTTTTCATGTTTGATACCGATACAGCAACTTGGATTATCTGCCGATAACAGTCTATGACTCCCGTTGCTAAGGCGATAGTGTCCTGTTTAAAACATGTCGGACAATGTTAGGTTGAGCGTTTGGGCTTAGGTATCCAATCACACAGGCTATGGCTGTTGTTTTTTTATGTTTGATCCTGAATTTCTGGCCAATATTGGACTAGTACTGATTTTGAGGGATAGATGGAGCCATCCCTAATCAAGAAACAGATATACAGGTGAGACAAAGGCTAACTGTTACAACAAGCAGAAAGGGATAGAATATATACAAGCAAGAGGCTCGGAACTCTGATAAGATACTCACGAGGATGAGCAGGTAATCACATGAGTGGGAAACAACAGAGGGCAGGAAGTGGAGGAGACAAGAGAGGTGAGGCAGAAGGATCATAGACAGTGATACAAAAGGTTGACTCCAACTGCCAAGTACTGTATGTGTCAGTAGTTAAAATGCAGGGGATTGATTCTTCACTTCTAAGAAATCCTCAGTGTGATTTGTAAATAAATGCATTTTACAGTAACTTGTGTTTTGACATGGAGGTCTAATAGATGAAGTTCATTGAAATAGTTGAAGTCCGCCGTCGACCACTTCAGTTTATCAGATTTCTCGCTCAGATGCAACTTTTGGCCTTTGGCAAAATACACAAGTACATACCCCGCAGTGACAAAGAGTACACAGCATGTGGGGTGGATAAATGGTATTTAAAGATCAAAGTGATTTCTAAAAAAAAAAGTGCAGTTAAATCTGCTTAGAATGCAAAACTAATGTTAAGGATAATGCACGCTGTGACTTTAATTTGTCAGTACTAATGAAGTTGTTGTTGAGTACATTCCCAGTATTTGCTCAGTGTTAATTAGGCAGGGTCTTACACTATAGTACTTCTGTTGTTCCACTTGGCACAACATGCTACAGTACCTATTACCGCCTGTTAGAATAATCACATACAGGCAAGGTGACAATGGCAATGAAGCGTAAGCTTTTACTGCTATCGTTGTACCGTTTGTTTGTCATCATCTTTGCACACACCACACCTTCTCTGTAAGCGAAAGAATCAATTTGTTTATGGTTAGGTGGTTGTCTAAAAACTGCAGCATAAGGTCTTCGACTGCATGCAGTGGTGCAAAGGTCCTTCACTGCGTGTCTCTGTCTCTGTCTCTGTCTCTTTATTCATTTCTCTCCCTCCTGTGACAGTGTTACAGAGTTCCTCTCTCTCTCTCTCTCTCTCTCTCTCTCCCTCTCCCTCTCTCTCCTCTGACAGTGAATTGTACTGGTGCTGTGTTAGCGCCTCTGTCATGCAACGAAAATGTTCAGTTATGAATATTGTATATTTCTGTCAGCCAACTCATTAATAGTCAAAAAAAAAACCCACAAAGTGTTGTTTGTGTTTCCAGAACTTTTATATATTCAGGCTGTTGGGTACTTTATTATGGATGTGCAGTGATTCCATTCCAACACATTATCATTTTACAAATATCTGCAAATAATCACAAAATTTAAATTAGCTGGCTATAAAACAGTGACTTTGTTTTAACCTGTCATGGGATGTGACTCAAAATCAATTCCTTTTTTTTACCAAACACAGTAGCAATATTTGGCACTGAAAAGTAATTAAATCAATGTCTATGACCAAAACATTTATTTTTATTTTTAGCTATATTTATCCATTACTTTTTTTCATCTCTCCATTACATTCACAGCTAAGGACAAAGTCGGAGTTCAATTACAGCAATTACATTCAACGTTTTAAGGCTTTTTGGCTCTCAACCCTGTCATCTGGTCTAGTGTTGGCTGGCTACACCATTTCCCTGTACCTGGACTGTCATAGCTAACGCTAGTTAGCTCTAATTGGCTGGATTTTCTGTGCTCAATATGAGGCATGATGCAGAGCAAAAGTAAAGTTCATTTAGTTAATCATTTACTGGAGAATGTTAAAAGTTCAGGATGAACATAATTTTGTGTAGCCTTTTCAAAGCTATGACTGTTTGGAGAAAAAGCAGAAGAGTTGTATTTTTCTAAATGTTTGCTAATGTTTTTTTAATGTTTTATGTTCACCCCTCCACCCCACAAAAAATGGCGGGCCACATTTTGCCCACGAGCCTTGAATTTGACACGTGTGCCCTAGACAGTTTGAATGTAAACCTTGAATCCAACCATACATATTGTGCATCATCAATAAATGGTAAGTTAAATTAAATCACAAATAAATGGGGCAGACATTTCTTTGTTTCTGTCAGCTTTGTCTCCTGATCGCTGTCTTCTGCCAAACCTATACTTCAAAAAACATAGCTAAGGCATGCTTTTATATATCCGGTCTGTGAATATATTACAAAATATTTGAATCTCATTATCACCCTGTGTGTCTGGCCTCCCCAGGTTCTGTGGATGGAGCAGCAAGTGGTAAGAAGAAGATGTAAGAGGGATGTATATGAAGATCCACCGGACCCTGATTTCCCTAAGCAGTGGTACCTGGTGCGTGAGGTTCTCTGATTTTTATTGTCTGGAACTCGTTTTTCTGCAATTGTGAATCTACTGTATGATTAAAATACAATTTTCTTTCTTTTAAACGTACCCTCTATATAAGGAGATGCATGATAATTTTTCTAATAAGAACTAATGCAGTAATTGTGATATCGTACTGTCTTTTTTAAGGTCTTGTATTTCAGAATAATTGCTAATAATTATATAAGGTACATCTTTATCTTTATATCTTTACATACATAATAGCCCTTTATCAGGATGGAATTTACATCTGTGGAATCCAGGGGTGTCTCCCTGTGCAAGAGAGAAAGAGAAAATATAATATTCCGTGGAATAAGATAATAATCTAGTCACATTAAGTAGAATGAGCAATTTAATTTATTTGTAAATGTATTATATAAATAACAAAATAAAACTGTTTCTCACCTCAGATTAATCTGCCATGGATGTGCAGTCAAAAATAAATAACCAATAAACTTATGAGTTTGAGACTTATGAGACTAACTTAAGCTATAATTTTACCACATTTTCTTTTGAAAAGCTATAATTTTACCACATTTTCTTTTTTAATTCAGAAATAGCAGCCACCTACAGTAGCTACTGTACCTGATTGTTTTTTTGTTTTGTTTTTTTTTTCATTTTCAGTAAGAGTAACTTCGAGAGAAGCTCACTGTGGGCCGTTCACCTTTTACAGGGTTTATACATTATTTATTTATTTTTATTTTTATCATTGGGACCTGGGTATTTTTTCTATCTGGGATAACGTTGGTCCTTTATTCTCTGCCACATTTTGACTCTTGCAGAACATCTCTGTTTTAACACAACGACATGACTTGTGTTGGTCTGTTTGGTATAAGTGTCATTCACAGCAGATTGACAGCTGAATAAAGAGCCTTTGTCTATTCCAGTCCAACCCCACACGCCAGGACCTGAATACCAAAGAAGCCTGGGCTCAGGGCTACACAGGAAGAGGAGTTGTGGTGACTATTTTGGATGATGGAATTGAGAAAAACCATCCTGACCTCGTCAACAATTACGTGAGTCAAAAACGCAAAATGACAAAGGACACTCAGACTGTAGGCTGTGAACTAAGTGCCCGACTGTGGACAGCGTCGACAGATGAAGGGCTTGAAAGGGTAACTACCTCGGTGTACTGAAATCTACTTTTCTGTTTTTCTCAGGACCCTGCAGCGAGTTATGATGTTAATGATGGTGATGTAGATCCCCAGCCAAGATACACTCAGCGGAATGAGAACAGGTAATGCAGCAGCAACAGTAACCAAGGCCGTCCTTTGAAATATCTCTTATTGGATTAAATCTAGCTTAAATCTCTTTTGAAATAAAACAAAACAGTACAATGCCATTCGTTTTTGTGAATATACGTAGGTAAACAAATATTGTATATTTATTGATAAATGTATTGATTGATTGATGATATATAGAGAGAATATACTGTAACAGTGCTGTTAAATGATTCAAATAGTAATCTAACAAATCACAGGGGAGCTGTCGATTAATCATGACTAATCATGATAATTCTCTGAGATGAATCTTGCTCAGTGGGAGTTCAGTCAGCTTATCAACTTTGACTTACTGCCCTGCACTGAGCCTGTGTCTGACCTGATGTTGAGATGGCAGTTTAGGCTGGAGCTGCTTCATTAAACAAAAACCTTTACTGCAGTATGTGCAATGCCCACTAGGTGGATGGATGTTGGAATTGTTAGATATTGACTGTGTTTCATTCTGCCCATGCGATATACACGCGAAATATGTTAAAACATTTTAAAATGAATAACCTTTAATTAATTAATTACTTAACCCATTTTGAGAACCCTAATATCTGTTTATATAGATAGATATATTTGTTTACACACACACATACAGTATATATATACATACATAGTTATATATACATATACATTTATATATATATATACATATATACTGTATAGAGTCAGAGAGAGAGGGTGGGGGGCGCAGGGATAGAGTTTAGTATTTCTACAAATTCTCAAAAGATTGCTTCCTCTCTTTTTGCTTCAATGCACAGGCGAGGCTGCTGTAGCTTAATTCTACGTTACAGTCTGTATACCCCACAGCTACGTTGGCACTTCTGTGTTGCTAATACAAGACAAAGCTTGTTTACTTGCCCTCAGTGATCCAGGCCCTTCCCTTTACTGTGCGGGGATGGCATTAAAGCAAATTTAATGATGGGGTACTCTGGCGAGTGCTAAACCCTCCCCCACTCTCTCTCCCAGTTTCTCCAAATACTATGGTGCTCTGCTGCACAGATTCAGATGAAATGTTCTTCCCTGTCTCTGAAATGCACTGTAGGATTTGTTTCAAATCCTTCCATTTTCTGGGACGACAGCCACCAAGTCTGTTGTTCTTTTTCATACTCTGGTTTCAAAGAGTAGCAGCCTCTTGCAGGAGGGAGTACAGACTGTTGTGTACAACGAGTGTCACTTCTGCATATGTCCTATTTTAACCTCTGCAAATGTTTACATCTTTAAACCACTTCAGTTTAACATGTGCTGTCGTCACTGTCTGTTTTTAAGGTCATTTGCAAAGCTGTATTTGTTCAATGAGAGCGTTTAGCCCCAGCAGGCTTTCATACAGAGGTCTAAATGTCCTTGAGGACAGCTTCTTCAACTGTATGAAATGACCTCTCAACATTAGGCAGATGCTGCTGATGAAACAAAGCACCACTAGAGAAGCTAACTCCTTTTTAAGGTTTACATCAGGTCTCCATCTGCAGCCCACTACAACTTCGCAAAGGCACACTCACATTTCACACATAATAAAACATTAAGTGCACAGAGCCGCCCTTACACACTCTGCTACTCTTGTCCGTGGAATTACAAGAGCAAATATGTTGGACCGGATCAATAATAGGCACGGGATGAAAAGCAAGGGTGTGTCTCTGGATCTGCAGCGTGAAGCCGTTCTCTTCAGAGCGACCTATGGACAAATTATATCCATTGGGTTATGTAAATTACTGAAGAGTAATACAGGGTGAGACAGTGAGTAATGCTCTGTGCCCCTTCGCAATGAGATTATATGAATATATGCATAGGACAATAAAAAAGAAAAGGAGAGTTGGAGGCAGACATTGTCCTCAGGCGTGGATGCTCCATTGTTACAGATTACACACCATTTCAAATCATGAAGTTTGCTCTCAGGGATTTTCTATAGAGATGCACTGTACTTTTGAGGTGGCAATTATAGTTGAAAGTGGTTTAAAACTGAATAGAATTATGCCGAGCAGGTAATCAATTTGTGTTCAATGTGTGCCATGCGTTGTTTTCTATTTTTGCCTAAATCCAATTTATTATTATATATGTTATATATTGATGATATGGTTAGCAAAACCTGTCAATACAGGTTCAAATGTATTGTCCCATATAATAAAGGCATATATGGCATTGTTACATTTGAACCTCAGCTTTAGCAATATAATAAAAGATTATGAAAAAAACAACAATTTAAATCCAAAAGTTAAAACCTATAGGACAAGCGTTTCCCGTTTTATCTGCTCTTTTTGAGCAAATATTCAAAATAACGTGTTCCCAAAAATTGTTCTTTAAAACATGTAAGCATTTGAATTAGTCTTAGAAAACATGTTGATACACACCTAAATTATTACTTAAATTAGGCTGCCAAATGAAACCACACAACACAGACGTTACGCAAATGACTTTTATCACTGCTGTTTCTTGATGCGAGATTAACTTGTGTACCCTCTGTGATTAAACCCCGGCGTGTTGATTAGGGACTCAGGGAGCAATCAAGTGATTGAGCAGGAAAGTTTGGATGAAAACAAACAAGACGAAGAAAATTGTCTTATAAAAACCAAACTCAGCTACCCAACCCCTGCCAGATGGTACTCTCCACATTTACTGTAGATTCGAACCGGGTAATCACCTCACTATGTCGATGCAATGCAGTGAGATGAGTAATTCCCCAAAAAAGAATTGCCTTTTTATTGTGCAGTATACTGCTTTATAGTTTTACATCAACTCTACCCAGTAGAGGAAATAAAGAGAGCCACTGCCCTCAGTCAGGGTGCAACATTTCTAACAAATCTAAAAGCATTACATGGAAATGTGATGTACCCAGATAGTGTGCTGAACCTTAAAGGTTTCTCTGGTAAATATTTTAGAGCTTTATTTTAAATCACTGCAATAAACATACATTTGCATAAAGCAAACAAATGCCAATTTTGAGTAATATCAACGTATAATATATGAAATCTTCATCCTGAGCTTCATTTACAAGAGGTTAAGACATAAGTGATTAAATTGAAAATGTGATAAAATATTTATTAAAAAATGTTCAGATTTATAATATATTTCAATATGGTTTCTCAAACAAATTACCATAAGAGCTAAAACTAAAGGGAGTATTTTTCATATCCATTATGATAACCATTGAAATTAATTTCATTTAGCCTGCAGAATATCAATCATTATCTGAAATCAAATTATATGCATGTAACTGCTGCTCGGTCTTCAGGTGAAACTGAATTGTGCTCTTTCTCTTCTCTTCAAAGAACACCTCCTATCCTCACAAACCCACTTACATCCAACATGCACCTCCTTCTTACACTATGACCTCCATGTTTACTGTAGCTTCATTGTTCCTCAAATTGTAAGTCGCTTTGGATAAAAGTGAATGTAATGTAGTGTAATGTATTCACCCAAGCACACACACACACACACACACACACACACAGACATACCTACCAGCAGTTCCTGTCCCTCTCTAACCTCAGAGTACACAGCCTTTACTTCCTTTACTTCCACTGGGAACTCGTCAAAGAGCCCCATTTTCATAGTGACAGTTTTATTAGAAAAGGAACAAGGTTTCACTCAGTCTTGTGTGTCCTTCATTCAAGACCAACAGTTTGCGCCTGAATACTAATATGAGGTGACTGCTGGGGGAATAGAAGCATACTACGGCTAATTTGCATGACTGTATTGAAAAGGAACTACATTTAATGTAAACACGCTTCACCGTCCCTATGGACCTGATTTGCCCTTGGTGGCTGTTTGTTTGGAGCTATTTGATTTTCTCACCCTTAAATAGTTCTCTTAGCAGAAACTAACAACAGAAAGGCCTACATTTAGTAAAGGTCATATTCCTTTACGTTAGATGCCAGGCAAAGCGCTGCTCTTGTTTATTTTCATTATACTTTAGAGGTCACATTGAGGTTGCGTTAAAGCCACTGTATTTGGCTGCACATGGTGTTTCTTTTCAGTCTTTATTCTTTAAAGTGACTTTTAGCGGGGGGCTAGAGTTGTAGAATGGCAGGGCCAGAAGGCACTTGGTTCAATTCCAGCTCATCCCCAACCTTAGGTTGCAACTTTGCCCAAAAGCCACTGTGCGGAAAACCTAATAAAAGATGACAGTGACATAAAAGTGATCCTTCTTAATAGTTACCTTGGCTGCACCTGAAGTCTGTTGGTTTTTTCGTGTCATTAACAGCCTTCAATTTTTTTGATACTTCTAGAAATTGATTGCTTTAGACATATTCAGTCTCATCAATGGTCTTACTCTTGTGCCTTTTTTTCTGGCGTTCGCTGTTCATTCCCAGAGTTTTATGTTTTCATTTCACGTTCCCATTCTCCTTCATATTCCCTGCACACATGCAAATGTGCTCTGTTACTCTTCAAAACGGTTTGTCTGAATTCAAATATGTGCCGTTGCTGCACACAGGCGGTGTGCTTTTGGATCGTAGCCTCCTCATGCTGCTTCTGTGTGATCTCTTATTTTTTAAATCTCTTAAATGGTTTTCTTTTAATAGTGCCCAAGGCCTTAATTTATAATGTTTTTTTTTTGTTGTTGTTTTTATATGAGGTTAGGGCCTTTGACTTTGATTTTTTTTTGTTCCATCGGTTACAGACAAAAAAATGAATTCAAAACAAGCTGCAGCCTTAATGTGAGGACAAGAGGTCAAATGCTACCAGCAGAGACGGGTTCTTTTACCATATGCTGCCGAACAAGTAGCTCCTAATCCCTGGGACATTTTTAATCCTCCGAATGCAAATGTGTCTGCACTGTGTTCTACAAATTCACAGCTCTGTCTAAGATACATTAGGCGGCGAGCATACTGTATGTAATTTAATGGAGTCTTTGTGAAGGCACTGAGGTGAGGCCGTCAGGGGTTTGCACAGAAAATCAGACTCATGGAGGAACAGAGCACAAATCAAAGAACGCAGCGTGCCTTTGGTGCTGCATTTGAAACAGCAGCTCAGTGTC